GGGCTCCGCCGGGCGAGGGGTTCCACTGGGTGAGGGGTTCCGCTGGGTGAGGGGTTCCTCCGGGTGAGGGGTTTCGCTGGGTGAGGGGTTCTGCCAAGCGAGGGGTTCCTCCGGGTGAGGGGTTCCACTGGGTGAGGGGTTCCGCTGGGTGAGGGGTTCCTCTGAGTGAGGGGTTCCTCTGAGTGAGGGGTTCCTCCGAGTGAGGGGTTCCGCTGGGTGAGGGGTTCCTCTGAGTGAGGGGTTCCTCCGAGTGAGGGGTTCTGCTGGGTGAGGGGTTCCTCTGAGTGAGGGGTTCCTCTGGGTGAGGGGTTCCTCCGGGTGAGGGGTTCTGCCAGGCGAGGGGTTCCTCCAGGTGAGGGGATACTGCTGGGCCAGGGGATTCTGCCCACCCAGCCCAGGTTCCCACAGGGCTGTTGCTGCTCCTTCGACGGAAGGCTTGGGGCACCGAGGCCTTCTGCAGGGAGATCCGGAATGGCCCTGGTGTGGGGCAGAAGCAGCTCTGTGGGGACTCAGCCCACAGCAGGCATCCCAAGGGTGTGATGTGGGCTCCCCCAGGTGTCAACTGGAAGTTCTGCTGGGAAAGACCAGGCAGGGTTGCAGCAGCTCTGGGGAGAAAGACCTCCCACAGCTGATATCAACTCGGTGGAGGCTGAGAGGGTGGGTATGTGACCCCCCTGCTCCGCCTGGTCCTGCTCTAGGCATTGGAGGTGGGAAGGCAGGCGCTTAGGGGTCACGTGCACAGCCGGAAGGCCAGTGTGCCTGGCAGGAAGTTGGGGGGTCCTGGGATGGCGAGGCTGGGGCAGCAGCAGGCCCCAGGGGACAAGAATTTGGGGTGAGGAGCTGGGCTTTTGGTCTTAGTGCAAAAAGGAGTTGGGGAGCTCTGAGAGCATGGTCTGATTGGGCCTAGAAATGAGCTGTCTGGGGGGTTCTGGAGTTTGGGGGGCCAGGGTGGGAACAGGAGACCCAGGCATTGCAACACTCAAGGACGGAGGTGGTAGGGAGTGAGAGGCAGCAACTGATCTCGTTCAGGGAAGGGTGGGGTGAGCTGGGGCTTCAGGACCCCTCAGGTGCTACATGGGGAGGAGTTAACTTGGAGCCAGAGGGAGGAGTGAGATCCTGGTGGATGGGGACACAGGGACAAAGACACCAAGCTGAGAGCCTGGCTGCCTGCAGCCTGGAAGGAAGGAGCAATTTGGTGTTGCTGGAGCATGACTGGGGTCAGGCTGAGAGCCATGACAGATGAGGGAAGACGGGCTGCGGCCAGGGCATGGCGGGATCCCACCTCAGTCAGGTATACAGGCGGGTGGGCACTCAGGCCTCGGCCAACCGAAACAACGACAGCCACAGCCCAGCCCCTCCCCACTGCCATGACGTTGAGTGGGAGGACGGGAGCCAGTCCTCCCCCACAGCCTCCAGGGCACACCTCTGCCCTCCAGGAACGTGCTCAGTGCCCTCTGAGCTCAGGGGTCCCGTGTCTCCAGCCCACCATGGGGCTGGGAAGGGTTTCCTCCTGACACAGGGGCCCTGGAGGCTGTGTCCTCCCCCAGCCCAGCAGGACCCCATGGGCATTAGGGGAGCAGGAATGGCTGGGCCCTGGTGGCTTCGCATGGTGGAGGAAGGTCAGGCAGGGCCCCGGGGCTCCAGCCCTGACCGTCACTAAGTGGATGCTTACTTGCTCCACCGAAGTCACCTTGTCTGAACTCCATTGGCAGGGCCATGATTTGCAATCTGGTGGGGAGCCAAGGAGAACCCCGCCTCTGTTTGGAAGTGCCCTCTGGCTGCCTTGTTTAGTGGCCTTGCGGGAGGCAGAGCCAAGAGAGCCAAGCTGAGGAGGGAAGCAGTATCCTAGCAGGAGGGTTGCCCCGCACAGGCAGAGGTGAAGGGAGGCACCCAAGCGGAAGAGAGGGAGCTTCAGCAGGGGGAACCCAGAAAGGCTTCCCGGAAGAGGCACCATCTGAGCAAAGCCTCACAAGAGAGGAGAGGACCTGGGGACACAGAGAAGGGAGGGAGCACATGTCCAGGGGAGAGGACGGTATGAACAAGGGTCTGGATGTGTGTGATCTGGGGGAAATCTGAAGGCCTGGAGGGACAGTTCTTTTAGCAAGGGCAAGAAGAAGAACCAGGCCTGGCTGGCTTGAGGGAAAGTGTCCTGTCATCTTGCCTGGGGTCCAGGAGTATGGTGCAGGGGTGTGGCCAGACTCGGCTGTCACCAGCTTCCTCCCCTCCTTCTACCCTGGAATGGGGTGGAAGGCAGGCACAGTGTCCCACAGGTGGCCACAGGCTTTTCTTCATGTGTAGGATGGCGGTGATGGTGGCATCCTTCCCAGGACTGAGATGTAGGGGGACGGGCATCTCACTGGGAGAACAGGACACATGCACTGTGTGGTCCCTGCCGGGCACACCCTGAGTGTTCCGTTCCCCTTCCCCATCCGCCAAGGACCTGCAGCTGCTTGTGCAGCCTTCAGGCCATTGCCTTGGGGAGGAAGAAAGGCATCTGTGGACAGTGCCACCCCAGGGCCCAAGCCCTGAGAGGAGGTGTGTCCTGGAGGCAGGCAGAGCCTGCGCAGTCTCCTGTAGGGCTCCAGGCTTCCTGGGGTCATCTCATCCTGAGACACAGAGGGCCCAGGTGGCACCTGCTCCCCACGTGATGACACCCATGTCCGAAAGGGCTGCCAAGGGGAACCAAGGCAAGGTCCCTGGGCAGGTCAGCCTCAGGGTCCCAGGCCAAGCCCCAGTCCATCTGTGCAGCTAGTGGTCACCAGGTCCTTCTGCCAGCAGGAACAGGAAGGTGGTTCCGTGCACCCAGCTGGAGGTGACACTGAGACAGGTTGTCCCCGGGGCCCACATGATTTACTGGCTCCTGCTTTGCTCTCAGCAGGGTGGCCCTTCTGTGGCAGGCTCTCAGTGGCATAACCCCCCCGCCTTCTTTCATAGGGGAGTCCGAGGAAGAGGAGGTGGCAGTCCCAGCAGGCCTGGCAGCCCTGGTTCTGCTCTCGTCCTCACCGAGACTTGCTTTTCGATCTTGGGCCCTCTTGCTTAACTTCTCTGGGTCCCAGTTTTCTCATCTCTAGGATGGGACGTCCCCAATGCCGCAGGCTGCGAGTGAGAACTTCCATCCCAATCTTGTTTCCTGGCTCAGAACCAGAGCGGGTCATCAGTGATGCTTAGTCAACATCCTGTGAGAGAGCAGAGTCCGAGCCTGCATCAAGTCACAACCCTGCCCGGCTCACTGCGCCTGCAGGCAGGGCCCCCCCTTCCCTGGGCCTCAGTTTCCCCTGGAACCTTTCTCCTCTGAGCGCCTTCCTTCTTCAGAAACCCCACCTACCATGAGGCCCCCTGCAGAGGGCACCTGTTGGGGTGGGGTCTCCTTGGCAGGGGCTGGGAGGAGGACGCTGGCCTTGGTCAGGCCACCGGGGCCAGGGCAGTTGTTTCTGGCGGCTCTCAAGCAAACGCGCTCATCCCATCCTGCTTTCTGTTCACCCAGCAGCACTGGGGTCATTTGCTGAGGGTGGACCTGGGACCGGAATTCCAAAGTCCAGTCCAGCCAGAGGTCAGGCCCACCGCCCCTATCCCTTCCCCTCCCCACCATGTGCTGGGCATGGGACCCCTGCCCACTTCTGCTCAGGAATCGAGGGGCCGTGGCCCGATTTTGTGATGCAGAAAGTGAGCTCGCAGCGGTGATCAATGTGTGGCTCGTGGCCAGGGCCAGGAGCTTTCCCTGACCTCTGCTGCCCCCTCAGGCTGACCCATGAGTGCTCATGGTGACTTTGGGGGGGGTACTAAAATTTGATCTTTAGCATTTTTTTCTCCAATTTATCATCCTCACTGTAAAAAAAATACGACAAATTAAGAAAAGCATAAAAGAAAAATTTTAAGTCATCCAGCACTTTACCACGCAGGTGTGACATTAACAGTTCTCTGTGGCTGTCCGCAGGCAGTTCGTTTTTAAATGGGATCATACAGCTGCCTTTCGGAGCGCTCCCATCTGTCCGTATCTTTAAAAGCCTGATTTCTGGGGCCACATCAGAGCCTTTGCTGGTGGAACCAGCCCCTCTAGGCAGAGCTTGGATCTTCCACCTTGGCCTAGGGTCAGTAGGGCTGCCCAGGCATCCCTGCGAGCCCACCAGCTGGTCCCAGAGAACACCCAGGAAGGGGAAAACCAAGCAGGCACTTGTCTGAGGCGTCGATGTATTTCTTGTGTCCTGTGGCAGGCCAGCACCCTAGCGGGGCCGCGGTGGGCCCGTGTCCTTCCTCACACCCATCCTTCCAACCCACACAGGCCACAGGCAGGGGCAGGGGAGCAGGGGCCCCAGGGCAGGGTGAAGTGGACCCCGGGTCCCTAACATCCGCCAGATCCCGCAGCCTACAGGACATTCCCTTCATCAGCCATCAGGGCCTCCTCCTTACCAGCCAATCAGGCAGGCACCCGACAGACGCAGAGCTAGTGGGGAGGGGGAGCTTGCCCCATCAGTACCCTCTGATGCTGCGACGTGGAGGCAGAGCTGAGGGTAGGCCTGCCGCCCTGCAGGGAACAACTGACCTGAGGGGCTGCTGCCGCTCCCCATAGTGGTGGGATAGGACGATCAAAAGAGGCATGCAGCAAGTGACCAGTGACCTTGCCACGGTGGGACTTGGTGCCACCGCTGAGCTAGGACCCTCCAGAGTGAGCAGCGAGGGCTGGCAGGTGCACAGGCTGGGGCCCTTCTCTGGTAACAACATCCCCCCAACCCCTGCCACTTTGTAGATGACAAGGACTTTTCCTGGCAGGGGTGGGGACCAACTCCCCATCTCTGGGTCTCAGGCGAGGGGCTGTGGCTGTGCCCCTGATGATGGGCCCTGCATGGCCCCAGCCCTGCCCACCCCCACCTGTTCTGAGCAGCTCTGTCCTCTTTGCCCACAGGCTGCGCAGCCCCTGGGTGCCCTTGTGCCTCGGGCAGCCCCGAGTCCTGCAGGGCCGGCTGGTCAGGTCCTCGCCCTCGATCTGGGACAGGTAACATACCTGCTGTCTCCCCTGGCTCCCCAGTGTCTCTGCGTCAGTCCCCAGACATCTGTCCAGTGTCTGCATCCAACTCCCCGAGACAGATAGGGAGGCCCAGCAGGTGAAGGTGAAGGTGGGGGCCAGCAGCACAGCCTCACAGCGCCCACCCTAGCAGCCCAGCCAAGGGCACCATCCTTGGGCTTGGGCCCTTCTCCATCCCGGTGGAAGGCAGAAGGGAGATCCCTCGAGGCCCCACCATGTGCCAGGGGAGCTGGGCACTCACCCGGTTCAGGGAATTCCCACAGGCAAGGAGGGAGCCAAGAAAAGCACTTGTACTGGTGCACCCGCACACACACACACACACATATGGACACATACACACATGTGCGCGCGCACACATGCGCACACATACATGCACACACACATACACATACACGCGAACACACACACACGCTGCCAGTTTAGGCCTAGATCCTGGTGTGACTCACCAGGCAGCAAGCCCAGCAGGGCCCCCCAGGTCCCCAGGCCTGGAAAGGTGACCTCAGCCTGGAGGTAGTGGCCCTGGCTCCTCTGGGCACCACACTCCTCTGTGTGTCTGCTAAGGAGCTGTTTCCAGATGCTGGGGACTCCCTGACCCAATTTAGCACTTGCCAGGCCACCTTTTCACCCAGGGCAGGGGGCAGAGAGCTCTGAGCCGCAGGCCCCCAGCAGCCTCCCCAGGTTCCCAGTGGCCTGTGCCCCCCGCCACACACAGTGCCACCTCTAACATCATCCACTGTGTGGGGGGTGCTACTACATAGAATGTGGACCAGCGACAGCCCTGCCCCACGTCTGGGTGCACCATCCCATTCTGCAGATGTGGAGACTGAGGCTGCTGTGGCCCAGCAGGCTCTGGTTAGTGCCTGGTGAGGGAACACTGGACAGGGAAGGCGGCACTATCTGGGCGACCACAGACCCTAGGTGAACAGCCTGGACCAGGCAGAGGGGACATGTTCAGAGGTTCTGAGAAGCTGAACCCCCAGGACTTTGTGACAGGGCTGTGAGGGGTAAGGGGTAAAAGGGTCACCATGGCCACCCCCAGGGTGAGGGCGTGGAGGGCAGTGAGCGTGTACTGATGTGGCTGCACTGGACAGTTGGGTGTTGAGATGCCCGAGGGCCATGGCAGGAGGTGGCTAGCCGTGGTGGGGGTATGGAGCCTGACAGATACCCTGCTGGAGTCGGATGGAGGCCTGGGAGGGTCCTTGTGCAGGAGGCAGGGAGGGGGTTCGGCCTGAGCATGCAGGAGGCGGGTACACGTGCAAACCGGGGCCCCAGGGAACAGCCCAGGCGAGGTCGGGAGGGGCCTGTGTTGTGACCGAGGGACCAGCAGAGGTGGGGAAAGGTGGCAGGAACTAGGGGGCGGCCAAGCTCGGGGCATCAGCTATGCCTGGGGGCTGGGTGCGTGTCCAGGGTCCGACGCCTGCAGCAGTCGGACACTGAGGCAGAGAGAGGTGGGAGAGTCAGGGGCTGGGGGCACTGCAGGCCCAAAGATTGGTTGGGTGTAGCAGGTGGGTGGGTGTGAGGGACTTGGGGAGGGGAGCAGTATTTACGGGCTGGTGGAGTAGGGAGTCGATGCTGTGTCTGGAAGGCCATCCAAAGGCCAGGGGTAAACTGAGGCTCTGTGAAGCTGACTTGTGAGATGTCTGCCCCGAACTCACCCCACAACCCCTCCATCCTCCCCTCCCACACCTGCCCCGTGGAGAATCCCTGCCTAGTTCACTGCCCGCCTTCCTCTGCACCGCACCCTCCAGGGCAGGGGCAGGGTTTGTCTTACTCCTGGTTGTGAGGTCTCAGACAGGTTGCTGGCTCTGAGAGGTTAGGGTAGGGGCCTTGGGGTGCTCAGGAGGGGCAGGGCTCGGTGAGGGGGCACAGTGAGCTGGGGGTGCAGGTCTCAGAAGAGCAAGGGTCTGAGGCTGGTCAGTGAGGCCTGGGGTGTGGCTGGAGAAGGGGCAAGGAGTCGGGGCTGAGGTGGTCACATGGGTGGATGGATGACGCCCTCACAGCTTCCCCGGTGGCACTCTGCCTCGGGACTTCCCTCTTTGCTTGTTACTCTACATCCTCTTGCGGGGACCGACTCTTGGGAAGACCCGCCCCACCCTTCTCTGAGGTTCTCAAAAACGTAAGCAACCTTTTATTTTTATTTACTTTTAAAAATATAGCCCTGGACAGGAATCCAAGGGTGCTTGCTGGAGGCTGACTGGGTGAGTGCCTGTGATGCCACATGGGTTTACTCAGAGGGCCCAGACAGAGGATGCTTCTGCTCGGGGCTGGGGGACAGTCGTGGCCCTGGTGGGGCTGGGAGGAAACCTCCTGCCTGCCCTCTGCTCCCCTCACTTGGGTTTGCGTCGGGAAGGTCGGGAAGGTCGCAAGAACGTGGGCTATTGCCCAGGGTCCCACAGCACACGAGGCAGAGTCAGGGTTCCAGGCCCTTCCACACCTCAGTTTCCTGTGTGACACCTGGGGCTTCTGTCCTGCCCCATCTCACAGCAACACCATCCAAAGCTGTTGGCCCCGGACAGCCCCTGGGCCGTGCACTCCTGGCGAGGAAAGAACTGCCAACCCCACCTGACCCAGCCAACAGGAAGTGTGGCCCCTGCCCTGGGGAGCTCCCCGCCGCCCCTGCTGGAGGCCCCCACACCACCCTCCTGCCTTGCACAGCTTTAGCTCAGGTGAATTGTCAGCAGGCAGTTCGAGAGGGTGGGTCTGTTTCCTGATCATGTGCGGCTCTACAGCCTGGGGTCCCACCTCCAGGATCTCCCATTCTGGGGGAAGACAACAGAGCCTCAAGAGCTGTCTGGGCCTCTGGAAGGCTTCCTGAAGGAAGGGGAACGTGAGCGAGCCTGGGCCTTGCCACGTTTCCCGTGCTGCGTGCAGCCTCACTGGCCATGGTGATGGACACTGCCTGGGCATGGGGCATTGCCACCAACCCTCTCTCTGGCCCAGAGAGGTGACCCAGAGTGCCAGAGCCACACAGCTAGTTGGGGGAAGTGAGGTCTGGTCTTGGGTGTGGCACAGCCGACTCTGGGCCTCAGCGATCCAACCCTAGCACTGAGAGGAGCACGAGTGAGGGCCCCTGTGCCACCAGGGGCCAGCTCTGTGATGGACAGCCTGGGTGCTGCTGGGCGCTCTTTATACCTTGGTCCTTTAAACCACCCCCAACACACTGGCCAAGTTCTGGGGCCAACCACTCCTTCAGCCAGCACCTGGAATTTATCTGTGAGTGGGGCACTGGTGGAGTCTGAGGAACCGCCACGACCAGACTGGCTCGGGGTCAGAGTCCCTGACTCTGGGGCGCCGCGGTCTCCAGTGACGTCTAGGAGGGTGTGTGTGTGTGTGTGTGTACGTGCGCGTGCGGGTACCTGCGTGTTAGTGCGGCGCGCCCGGGCAGGCCCGCGGGCCTCAGTTTCCCCCGCTCAGTGCAGCGGCCCGGTCCGCCGCCGCCGTGTCGTTGCAGCGCGCTGCAGGAGCAGAAGGGCGAGCTGCGCAAGCGGCTGTCCTACACCACACACAAGCTCGAGAAGCTCGAGACGGAGTTCGACTCCACGCGCCACTACCTGGAGATCGAGCTGCGCCGCGCGCAGGAGGAGCTGGAGAAGGTCACGGAGAAGCTGCGCAGGTGAAGGGCGGGGCGAGGGGGCGGAGGGGGGGTCGCGGAGCCGGAGCGTGGGCCGGGAAAGCCCTGCGGGCCCCCGGAAGCCGCATGCGGTGCTCCCCTCTCAGGCCGGCTGTTGACCCCACGCAGATGGGGAGTCCAGAGGTTCGGGAAGGGGAAGCTCTTCCTCCTACTTTGGAGCAGCGGAGCCAGGATTTGAAACCGGCAGATCTCCAGACCCAGACTGATCCACCCGGGTCCCAGCCATGATCCCCTGAGTCCTGATGGGGAAAGCTGTGTCTAGCCAGGAGAGGAACCCGTTTAGGGACCATTCCCTTGAGTGCCTGCAGGACAATGAAGGGTCGAGCCACACGTGCCAGACTCCTTCAAACACAAAAGTTTTCTAAAAGCTTTTTTTGGGCACATTTAGGATGGATATTCTTCTAAAATGTTATATACACTTTCCCATCTTCTTAAACAGAACGTGCAAGGAGCATGCGAATTTTGCTGTTGGCTTGATTTGTTTTCGACGTTTGTAGAGCATCCACTGGTGCCGCCCAGGGAGGGTTTACCGGGGATGGAGGATTTGTCCTCTCCGAACAGCCCCGCCCTCCTGAGTGTTTTGCATGTCATCCTCCATTCCTGTAGAAGCCAAGCTTCGGCAGTGCAGTCAGACCTCAGTTCAAGTCTGGGCCCTGCCAGTTACTGAAGTAATTAAAGTTTCACTTCAGTTTCCCCGTTGGCAAGACGGGGACCATCACACGACACGACACGTGGGTTGTCTGAGTGGACGCCATCCCCAAGCCCCTCCCACTAGCAATGGAAGCGCCAAGCCCCTGACTCCCATCCGGCGCTCGGCTCCACTCGCCCTTTCCAGCAGAACTGCGTCTTGTTCGCTGTGATGCTCCAGCCTCCCTCTGGGGCCCCTCATATAGTTAGTGTTAAGTCTCTTCCCTGCTCATTCGCATTCGAACTGTCAGCCCCATCACAGGTTTGTAAGAATTGTGGGTCAAATGTGAGTAAACTGGCTCCGCGTGCAGATGGGACAGAGTCTCTTGTGAATAACAAGCCTTCGATTCTCATCTTCAGAGGCTCCCGGGGCGAAGGGGGAAATTGGTCCTGGACCCTGGCCTAGGATAGGCCTCTACAAGTTAGCTTTAATGGGATGTTTTCTGCCCTGTGCAGAGGGGCACACATTCCATTCCACCAGGGTGAGGCTGGTGGGGTCAGCTCGAGAGGTCCCAGTTCAGCCCCACCCTGCTCAGCAGGCTGTGCGGCCGTGAGGGTCATGGGAGTGCCAGGCCTGGCACCACAGTGACCCCATTGCCTCCTGCTCCAGGATTCAGAGCAACTACATGGCACTGCAGAGGATCAATCAGGAGCTGGAGGACAAGCTGTACCGCATGGTAAGGCTGCCACGCAGCACCACTCCCCAGCCCCACACCTCCTTCCCTGGGAGAGCCACCCAGCGGACACCCCTGAGCCACTCAGGAGCTGGGACACAGGTCTTGCTGGTCCCACCCCTTTCTCCACGGAATGTGCAGGGTGGGATGCGTGCTCTCAGGCTAAGGAAGTACTAGGGTCCAGGGCTGCCCTGTGCTGCCTGAGCGGCGGATTTGAGCACTCCAGCCTGTGGGCATGTAAGAGGGGCTGTGGACGGAGGGCATAAGCTGGGAACAGGCCCTCCAGTTCAGCCTGCCAGTCCAGGGACCTGAGCCCAGGAGGAGAGGGAGGCCCAAATTCAGGCCCTGGGTGAGCCAGAGACAGGTTCCAGCCCCAGTTGTGCCTCTCATGGGGACCCCACTGTGGGGACCCTCACACCACCTGCACATGACTGCAGTGGGGTTGCCATTTTCTCTGTGACTGCACTGCTGGGACACATGTCCAAGAGGGACAGGGTGAGGGCTTCTGGAGCCACTCCATCACTAGGATGAAGAGGTTTCCCTTCTTTCTAGTTTGGTGACCAGCTCATTTTGTTTTTGAAAGCAACAACCCGCCCACCTTTGCAGTGCTGTCAGAGGGGAGGTGGCAAGCCTGGGGTCTGGACCTGGCTCTGCCTGGGTCCCTGGACATGGGCCCTTTCCTTTCTGAGCCTCAGTTTCCCAATCTGTCCCAGTGAAATGGGCTGGGCTCTGTGTCAGGCACAAATCCTCCGTGCTGAGTCCCCACTCCCAGCTTCTGAGGCAGGACACTGTCACTTCTGTGTTACACATGAGAAACAGGCTCAGGGAGGCAGTGACATGCCCAACGCTGTCTGGCTTGGCAGTGTTGGACCCAGGCATTGAACCAGGGTGTGTCTGTGCTCTTAAGTCCCATACCCATGGCCCTCCAAGTGTCTTGTCGTTCATGGCTGCAAGGGGCAACATAGGGGCGCAGTTGAGTGACGGGGCAAGGAGCCAACCAGAGACCTCCTCCTCCCACCATCCCACCCGCAGGGCCAGCACTATGAGGAGGAGAAGCGTGCACTGAGTCACGAGATTGTTGCCCTCAACAGCCACCTGCTGGAAGCCAAGGTGACCATCGACAAGCTGTCAGAGGACAACGTGAGTGCCACGCACGCTTGGCCCACAGAGGGCTGCCGGTGGGCCCGGGCGAGGGCTTCCCAGGACGCGCCGGGAGTCACATTCTGACTCTCAAGGGTCTGAGCCCAGCTGCTTTGGCCCCAGCATCAAGGGGCTGGTGCAGGGTACAGGTGGATGGACAGGCTGGTCAGGGTTTTGAGAAGGACCTGGTACAGTTTGGGAAGGTTGGGGCTGCCTCGCCGAGGATGCCAAGGGTATCCTAAACAGACTCTCTGCTGTAAGGACTTGAGCTAGAGGAGGTGGAGCCATATTATCCCATTCAAGGCAAGGCTTCCTGACCCCAAGGCAGGGTCATGGCCACTCAGGACTCCCACCCTTGGCCAGTCCCAGTGTCACATCACAGCCATGTATGTGGCTGCCCAGGGGGCCTAATTTCGGGGACCTTGTGAGATGGGCCCACTTGCCCCCGCAGGCCCGGGACAGCTGCCTACGCATTCACGAATCAGCTTCTGCTCCTTGCCAGACCCTACTAGGCTCCAAGATTATGGTGTGAACAACACAGGCAAAACACACACACAAAAAGAAACCTCTGCCCACGTGGAGTTCACATCTGAGTAGGGCAAACTTTAGAGTGTGTTAGAAGTGTGAAATGCTGTATAGAAACAGACAGCGAGGAACAGCACCAGGGAGTCGCCAGCTGCAGGGCCTGCAGATTCCAAGAGGGTGCTTCTGGAAGGGGCTGCTGGGCCAGGACCCGAGGGCGTGAAGGAGCCACCACCCAGACAGCTGTGGGAAGAGCGTGGCTTCCAGGCCGAAGCAACCGCGGTGTGCAGCTGTACCCGGATAACTTGCAGGACCCCAAAGAGGCCAGAGAGCGCCCAGGGGAGGGGCGGCCAGGGTCAGAAGGACAATAGGAGGCGACATTGTGTAGGCTCCTCCCAGAGATCTGGGCTTCATTCTGAGTGTAGTCGAGAGCCATAGAGGGTTCTTAAACCCTCTATGAGGAGCAACATGATCACACGGACAGCTTGCAGGGCTCACATGGCTGCCGTGCTGGGAACAGGCTGTGGGGACGAGAGCAAGAGCGGGAAGATCAGGAAGCTGCCAGGGCCTTAGTACAAAGGATGATGGTGGCTCAGGTGACAGTGGTGGTGGAACTGGGCAGAGGGCTGCGATTCTGGTCTTTTTGAAAATAGAATCAATAGGACTGACCAAGACTTAGGATGTGGGTTGCTAGAAGAACTGAGTCCAACCCAGCTACAAGGTTCAGAGCCCAAACAAAAGTTGTTGCCGGCCATTTCCTGGCTGGGGACAGCGAGGGAGGGCAAGAGCTGGGTAGGAGACGCATAGGAGCCCTTCGAGAGGAGATGTTACCAGGGTAGCGGGAGGCCCGGGCCTGGAGTTGAGGGTGAAGGCCAGCGTGCCAGTGGAGACTGCCGAGGCAGCCTGCTGATGAGAAGCAGGGAGGCCCAGCAAGGATGCCTGGGGGAAGTGCCAGCAGGCTGGGGGACACCAGGCAAGTGTGGTGGCCCAACAGCCACTTGAGGAGGGGGCTGCCATCGGTGCCCTGGCCGGCTGGCTCACCAGCTGCTGAGAGATTAGGTCAGAGGGCCAAGAAGAGGCACTGAGATTTGGAGACCTAGAGATCAGTGGTGGAGTGGAAAGGTGGTCCCAGGCACAGGCCGCCCTTCTGAGGAGTGTGGCTCTAACAGAAGGGGACAGGATGACATGGGCTCAGGACAAGAGGTGTTTCTTAAGGTAACAAGGCTAGGCCCCTTATGTAAGTGGGCACCAGTCCCGGGGACCTCTGCAGGGATGGAGCACAGGAGGAAAGTGAGGCACAGCCAGCTTCAGTGGCTTCCCAGGTAATCCAGGTGGTCGCTCGCACACGGAGCCAGAACTCAACCTCGGGACTCCAACTCCAGCAGCCCAGGGCCCTGGGCAGCCAGAGCGCCTGCCTCTACCTGCTGGCTCTGCCAGAGCGTCCCGTGAGCATTTCCTCCCTGAGACAGCAGTTGTGGCCGCTCAGGAAAAGCTCCCAACGTCCCAGAGCCACCGCAGACACGGACAGCCCAGGGGCTTGGGTGCCCAGCCAGGTGCCCCAGGGGCTATGGGCATGGCACTGGCTTCCCAGTGGCATCTGCTCCTGGCTGTGGCTGGTGGGGCTCAGTGGCAGACCTGGGCTGGCTGGGCAGTGTCTGCAGCCCGCTGGTGCCAGGAGCAGCCAGTCGACTGGAGTTACACAAGGGGCCAGTTCTCAGCTCTCAGGCAGCTGTGCTGTTCTCTTCCAAGGAGGCCTGGGGAGGCATTGAGAGGGGCTTGGCCACTCCGATTCCCTCCACCGTGTGGGCCAAGTTGGGGGCACCAGCCTCAGTGGGGAAGGCTCCAGGGCCATGGTGGGGGAACCGAAAGGTGCTGTCAGAGATAGCCTTGCCTGGGCAGCAGAACGCCTAGTGCTGGTTGGGCTGGGACACTGGCCAGCCCTCGCCAGGAGCAGCCATGGAGCAGCTTGGGTGGGTCACAGGGCTTCGGGGCCACCCCAGGGCCAGCTGTCAGAGCCCTCACAGTGGGGACCCCGGAGGGGCAGGCATGCAAGCCCCAAACACAGGCACATGCAACAGAGATTTTCAGTGGTGAAGCCACACCCCTCGAGTCCTACTGTTTGCATCTGTTTTCAGAGCCAGCGCCCGCCTGGGCCTGCGGTCACACACCTGCCCGGTCCCTGCCCAGCCCTCCAGCCACCCTGTTCCCAGGCCACACTCTGGGAAGGCGGGTGTGAGCAGCAAGTCTGAGGTGCAGGGTGGAAGGTGCTGGGACTCGTCCTGTCACCCATTCCTGTCTGGCACTCCCACCCAGTCATCTTTGGAAGGACTCCGGGAGCCCGAGGGACAGGGAGACCAGGCCTGCTCTATGAGCCTGGGGGGCCTCCGGGAGCTCAGGGCCATTGGGGCTCCTCCTCCTACCACCGCCCCGACCTTATGGGGGTTCCTATCTTAGCACAGCCCTGGGGGCGCCAGCTAGGGCAGCGGCAGGGCCCTTGACGCTCTGGCAGCCCAGGTCAGAATGAGGCCCTCATTTGCAGGCAAGAGCATGGCTCCCAGAGAGGGCCAGAGCCAGTAGTGGGTCCCTGTCCTGCCGAGCGCACAGCGGGCCCTGTGCACCCACTGCCCCTGCTGGCCACTCGGCGCTGGGCAGGGCGGCGGGGCCTTGGCTGGGGGAGTGGCGCCGAACGCCTTCTCTTGTCTTTTAGGAGCTCTATAGGAAGGACTGCAATCTTGCGGCCCAGCTGCTGCAGTGCAGCCAGACCTACGGCAGGGTCCACAAGGTGTCTGAGGTAACGTGGCCCCACAGCCAGGCCGTCCCACCCCAGGACCACCGGCCTCCTTGTGTGCTGGTCTCACCCCAAGGCCACTTCCCATCCTAGGGGAGGAAGATGCTGGCTGAGCCCAAGCCTCCTCTGTCCCCGTTGCTCCTGTGGTGGAGGGGCCGTCAAATGCACCCATCTCACCCAGCTGGGCAGCCCCTGGCCCTCACCAGAGTCCCCTCAGCCCACCCCGGCTGCCTGTCGCCCTCAGTTTCCTTCGGGGACTATCTAGGTCCCTGCTCCCTCTGAGCACTGACACCGCAGAGTGACCTCGTGTGAGCCTCACAGGAGCCTTGTGTCTGGGCACGGTTTACTGACAGTGCCCATTTCAGAAAGAAAACACTTCAGGAAAGATGGTGTGGCCGAGGCCACACGGCAGGCAGGTAGCAGAGCCAGGACCCAGAACCAGGCCTGTCTGATGGATGCCAAAGGCAGACGGGCCAGCAGCCCACCCCTGCCCACCTATGGCCACCACACCCTGCGCCCCCTGCCCCCGCCTCACATGCAGTCTCCTAGCCAGGCCTGTGTTCCTTCCCCCGGTCCTGGGCCACACCTGAGACACTCACAAAATAGATCAAACAGTAGCGGGACACCCTCACACGGCACCAGGCACTCTCAGCCCTGGCCCTCAATCTTTGTTGCATCTGTTTCTGGTCTGTCTTCAGGAGTGCTCAGGCAGGACTGGGGGCGGGGGGTCGTGCCCCCCTGCTTCCATAGGACCCATGCACCTGGGAGAGCAAGTCAGCCCCTCTCTGGGCACAAAATGGGTGGGGATAGGGGTATGTGCAGCCTTGAGTGTGGCCTGAATCAGACCCAGGTTCCGGCTTCTCCAGGTGACTGCAGCTTCTGGGCTCTCCTGGGCCCAATCAGAGTGGGGAGGGAGGAGGTGACCCGGGATCCCCAGGCCATCACAGCACCCACACCCCTGGGAGCTTATTCAGTTCAGCCTCCAGGGTCCCGCTCCCCCGGGTGTGATATGAGAAGCTGGGAGGCCCTGTTCATCTGTCTGCCTGCCTGTCAGTCATGGCTAACGTCAGTCTCCAGCTTTGGGGCCAGGACTGGGCCACCATGCTGACAGTGACCCTGTCCCCGCCCCCTACTCCTCGCGCCCGTTCCAGCTGCCCTCGGACTTCCAGGAGCGCGTGAGCCTGCACATGGAGAAGCATGGCTGCAGCCTGCCCTCCCCCGTCTGCCACCCGGCCTATGCCGACAGCGTCCCCACCTGCGTCATCGCCAAGGTGCTAGAGAAGCCTGACCCTGCCAGCCTGTCCTCCCGCCTGTCCGATGCGTCGGCCCGAGACCTGGCCTTCTGCGACGGAGTGGAGAAACCAGGCCCGCGGCCCCCCTACAAGGGAGACATCTACTGCAGCGACACAGCCCTCTACTGCCCAGAAGAGCGGCGGCGCGACCGGCGGCCCAGCGTGGACGCACCCGTGACCGACGTGGGCTTCCTGCGGGCCCAGAACTCCACCGACAGCGCGGCTGAGGAGGAGGAGGAGGCCGAGGCAGCGGCCTTCCCGGCGGGCTTCCAGCACGAGGCCTTCCCTGGCTACGCGGGCTCACTGCCCACATCCAGCTCCTACTCCAGCTTCAGTGCCACGTCGGAGGAGAAGGAGCACGCGCAGGCCAGCACGCTGACCGCGTCCCAGCAGGCCATCTACCTGAACAGCCGTGATGAGCTCTTCGACCGCAAGCCACCCTCCGCCACCTACGAGGGCAGCCCTCGCTTTGCCAAGGCCACGGCCGCGGTGGCAGCCCCGCTGGAGGCCGAGGTGGCCCCAGGCTTTGGGCGGACCATGTCACCGTACCCGGCTGAGACCTTCCGATTCCCGGCCTCTCCGGGTCCCCAGCAGGCCCTGATGCCCCCAAACCTGTGGAGCCTACGGGCCAAGCCGGGGACTGCCCGGCTCTCCGGGGAGGACATGCGGGGCCAGTGGCGACCCCTGAGCGTGGAGGACATCGGCGCCTACTCCTACCCGGTTAGCGCCGCTGGCCGTGCCTCACCCTGCAGCTTCTCTGAACGCTACTACGGTGGGGCCGGGGGCAGCCCGGGCAAGAAGGCCGACGGCCGCACCAGCCCACTCTATGCCAGCTACAAGGCCGACAGCTTCTCCGAGGGGGACGACCTCTCCCAGGGCCACCTGGCAGAGCCCTGCTTCCTGCGGGCGGGTGGGGACCTGAGCCTCAGCCCCGGCCGCTCTGCTGACCCACTGCCAGGCTACACACCCAGTGAGGGGGGTGACGGGGACAGGCTTGGGGTGCAGCTGTGTGGGGCCACCAGCAGCCCTGAGCCCGAGCAGGGCTCCAGGGACTCCTTGGAGCCAAGCTCCATGGAGGCCTCCCCGGAAATGCACCCCGCCGCCCGCCTCAGCCCCCAGCAGGCCTTCCCGAGGACTGGTAGCTCGGGGCTGAGCCGCAAGGACAGCCTCACCAAGGCCCAGCTCTATGGAACCTTGCTCAACTGAGCGCCACGTGCAGGCCTGGCTGTGGGCCTCTCCCCGCCAGCCCATGGCGCCCCAAGGGGCCGGCCTCACCCCCCAGCCCCTGCTGTTCCCCCGCCCCTGCCAACAACCAGGCGTCTGTTCCTCCCCGTACCTCCTCTCCTCCCCAACCCCATAGGCCCGAGGAGGATCCCCCCGCACTGCGGTGTCCACCAGCCCCGCCCCATGGAGCTCCACTTAGAACGTTTTTCACACTCGTCCTTCCCCCATCTGAGAGGGGCATCCCCCCTTTTATAAAGCGAAACTATTTTTATAGAGAAAAAGGGTCTTTCTAACGCACTTGGCCTCCAGCTCCCTGGACGGCTGCCTTGGCGTTTTCAACACAAAGCTCCTTTATTTTTGGGTGAGGGTGCGTGGGGCCTGCCCCTTGGAAGGGAAGGGAAGGGAAGGACCGTGTCCTATGGAGACTGGACTCTGCAAGTGGGGAGAACACCCCCACAAGCCAGTGACAAGGAAACCCAGAAGTTGTGTCCACGAAGAGGGAGCTGAAACGAATTTGGGGCTATGAAGTGTTTTAAAAATCATTTTTCGCAGTGTGGCCACCGCGCCGCCCTGAGCCCCCCCCACGGCCCATAGTCCCGGGTGGGCGGGGATGATGTCCCGGTGCGGCTGGCGCTCATCCCGCCCCCACGTCCATCCCTGACACCGTCTTACTCTACCTCAGACATGATGAGGCCCTCCACTCCCGGTTTCTGTAGCTTGCGTTCCTGTTGTCTCTGATGCATGCCCTGTCAGTTACTATTGTATTTTGCATTCATTAATAAAAGACACTGGTGGAAAGAATCTAGATTGGGCTATTTCTCCTCCTCCTGCCTTTTGGTCTTGGGAACTTGGAGTCCCTGGTGTCCCCACCCTCAGCCTTGCTCTCTGCAGCCAAGTTGGGCCCCTTAACCCCACGTCACACCCCGTCCCCACCCTAGTATCCAATTTCCTATCTAGGGTGCGGATTCCCCTGCCTTTCCCAGCCCACTGGACATGACCGTTCTTTCCTCTGATCTCACACTCCTGTGCGCTGCCCACGGATTTCCTGGCCTCTAATCCTCACGTCTCAGACCGCTTCTCCTTGAGAGGTACTCAGGCTGCGGACAGAATGTCAGCCAGCGGCTTTTCCTTGGCACACGGGAGCTGCCACTCTGCTCTGGCTTCCTGTTGGTACTGGGAACTGGCTGTCAGGCTGGGAGCCGATCCTTTGGTTGGAAAAAAAAATTGCTTTCTCTTCCCCAGCTCTTTAAGATTTTCTCTTTGACTCTGGCGTTCTGCGGTTTCCCTGAGGTGTGTCTGGGTGTGGACTTCCTTCTTAGGAATCTTCTTAGGATTCTCAGGGAGTCTGACACGTGTGGATTGGTGTACTTCACCAGTTCTGAAAAATTCTCAACCATTATTTTTTAAAAACATTTCTCTGCGCATTCTGTTTTCTCCCTGCGGGTCTGTTTCTCAGAACTATGCTACCTCAAGCCTGAGGCGGCCCCATCACCCCCCTACCGTGCCCTGTGCCACCTCAGGCCTGCAGCGGGCCCTGCCCATCCACACCACACCCTCCACGGCTGCCGCGCTCGCCTCCTGCACTGCACACCTTTCTTCCAATTCACTAATTCCCTCCTGTGTCTGCTCAGCTGCCACACACACAGTTTTTCATTTCAGTTGTTCAGGTTTTCCATTTCTGAAGGTTCTATCTGGGTGCTTTACAAGTCCACGGTGAGTGCCACTTTCGTAGCTTCCCATTCCCTGGAGTATTTTCTAGCTCGTCTCTTATTTCCATCAACACGGTGGGCGCAGCCGTTTCACAAGGTGGTCTGGGACTAGACCGTGGCCTGTGTAGGCCTCCTCAGGGCTCCTGCTCCGGTGGCCCTGTTTCTCTGGACACCACTGATCTTGGACACATGCTCACCCCTGCCCTTGAAGATGTGCATGTGTGGGTTCAAGGCTGAGGACGGAGGCCCCTCCCCAAGGAGGCCTTTATGGCTGTCCCTGTAGGTGCCTGGGGCATGTCCCAGTGGGGAACACCACCCCAGGTTCATGCCTGAAGGTTCCCTGGCACACCTGGCTTTGTGTAGCTCCAGCATGGGACCACCACTGGTCAGATGACTCCAAGGACAGTGGGCATCAGCCATGGCTTCCTGCATGCTTGCTCTTCCCCTTCCTCTGCGGAAGAAGCCAGAGCCAGCCTGGCTGTGTCCTCTTCAGTCATACCTGCCACCCCAGGAAGCAGCCTCCCTGAGCCGGAGGAAGCTTGGAGCGGTTTGGGATTCTGGTCTCCTCTCTGGGGCCTGTGGGCAGACAGAACAGGGGCTGCATCCCTCACTGAGCTGAGGGCAGCCAGGAGGGTGGGAGAGAGAAATACCTGGCACCTGGTGGGCAGAGGCACTCGCAGAGGCGAACCCAAGCCTCAGCCGCCCCAATGTCAGCTGTGAGACCTGTGGCCTAGATGTGGGAAGGCTGAGGCCAGCCAGAGGGGTGCCTCAGCTCTCACATCTAAGTAACAAAAGCCTGCCCAGCTCTGACTCCTGGGGGCTAATCAGACGCACCTGCCCTGGGCAGCAGCCTTAGCCCTGATGTGCAGGGCAGATTCAGGGTGCTGGCTCCCATTGCTACCTCAGAGCCTCTGTCCCTCACGGGGCTGTCCTGCCTGGGCTGCAAAGCCTGCCACAGCCAGGCCTCAAAGGTGTCCTGTTGCCAGAGCAGCCAGGACCATTAGGCCCCTGCCTAGGACTGGGTAGGTGACTTTGGCTATAGAGCCAGGGAGCCTGCAGGCCCATGAGAGAAGAGGAAGGTAAGGGTCCATGCGGCTCGCAGCAGCGGGGTCAGCCTGACGCCCTCTGGGTGGGGGCCTGCCTGCTGTGCGTGGCACTCAGAACACTGCTCCTTGCGGTGCTGAGGCTGGGGGCCACAGTTTACCACCCCCAATTTCTCACGGCTCAAAGCTGGCTCAGCAGGGCCCTGAGACAGGAGCGCCTGTGGCTCTGACGCGTGACTCTTCTCTCCCAGGATCCCCTGGGCTGGGGCTTGGTGCTCCCCTCCTCTTCCTGGTGCTGGTGTCAGCTGGCAGCCTCATGCTGGCCTCTGGGACCTGGCTCTGCCCACAAGGAACTCAGAGGTGGGGGAGGAAGGCAGACAGTGTGACACTCAGCTCAGGGCTTCCAGAACACAGGGCCTGTGGGCATCTGAGAAGGGAGGGCCCTCACTGCTGAAAGGGGTCAGAGGAGAGGCCCAGAGTGGGTGTTGAAGGATGAACAGGAATTCAACAGGTATTTTTGGCAAATGAAACAGAGTCATGAAAAGGCACAGATCTGTGACAGCTGGAGAATTCCAGAAACTGTTCAGTGCTCCCATGGAGCTCCCAAGGGGCTGAGCTCTGGAGCTGGCAGCTTCCCTCTGGATCTGCCCTTCGACATTCTGTACTTGGACTGTCCCCACAGTTGGACGGGAAGTCCTGGACAGTCCCCATCTACCCAGACAGCTAGCCATGGCATGGGGTTCCCTCCTTCACCTGTGCCCTCTCCCTGCACTGAGATCCTGCCCTGCCTTCAGGGAGGCCCTGTCTTTGTATCCACCACCCGCCCACACATCCATGTATGTTTTCTCCTCAACTCTCAGCAGGGCAGTGCAGGGTTGGGCTCTGCCACCAGCTGAGTGTCACCTTGGGCAAGACCCAGACCCTCCTGGCCAGTTTCCCTTTCTGGAGCCTGAGGACATTCATCAGTGCAATTTCCAGGGACCCTCTAGGCAGCTGAGTCTCCCACTGTACAGAGAGCCACGGTGAGGTGGAGGTAGAGCCCAAGGGAGGCCATTTTGGAAGGAATCCCAAGTACAAAAAAGAGCACAGGCTTGGGGCCCTAGGCACAGCTCCCTGCCCCCAGGGCAGCAGTTTCCTCTGCTGGACAGTGGGGATCATGGACACCCTGTCAGGAGCTGCGAGCATCAGCTCCACTCAGAAAAAGTCACGGCCACCCCGGCACTGCAGTGCAGCCAGCACATACAGCCGACACAGCATCCGGAGGTGAAGCTGTTTTTCTCCACGATGGCTTCGGATCTGGCATCTCAGATTTTCTGGGTGAGGATGAAGGTAAGCACTCAGCCCCAGGAAGGTGGGTGGAGGGAAGAGACCACACTTCTTTTCTATTCCTGCTCCACATTTTCTAAATTTAGCTTTCTTATTTTAAAACTGCAAACGGTGAACTCCCTGACACCTTGCCAAGGATCAAAGTCAGTCTTTAAGAATGCTCCTTGGAAGAAAGTGTTTGGAAAAGGAAACATAAAAGCATGGTGCACACCTGCCACTCTTCCCAAGAAAATGACCTAAAAAGGGAAGGGGCCGGCACCCACAGGGCTTGCGTTAAGAAATCAGACCCCAGAGGGTGGAGCTAAGAAACTGCCACAGTGGGTTTTCTGCGGAGCCCTTGGTGGCCCCCACCCCAGAAAGGTCAGAGATTTGGGTTGGTTCAAGGACACCAGCTTGGAAAATAAATGGACTTCAGGGGCACAGATGTCGATGGCATTTGTCCCAAGTGAAGTTCGGCGACAATCTGCAAAGTCCTTTCTTTTGCCTCATCTCTCCTCGTCCCCACAGGCCCACTTTACAGATGTGAAAACAAGGCTCAGAGAGGCAAGGCCCCTGCGAAGGCCTCAGACCAGCAGGAAATGGCCCTGGGACGTGAGCTGGTCTCCTGGTGGCAGGCAGTGGTGATGTGTACCAAGCACAGGAGTGGGGCCAGGAGCCCGGGTGGACAGGAAGCCTCTCGACAGCTACGTCCCAGCACTCGGAAGCCTGACACAGTGTCATGTGCGAGGGATGCTCCCGTTAAGTCGGTGATAACTCGAACACATCACAGTGGGGAACAATCAGCAAGTGTGCTGCGATGACATTTCAATCACAAAATCATCATCAGGAAGGTGGAAAAGCACTGAGGCTGGCGCTGGCTCAGGAAGCAGAGCATCTGGACTCCAAGGTCTGGGGCAGTGAGAAGGCCAGGCCTCCCTCCACCCCAAACACTGCGGCTTTCCCTCCTGCCTTGTGTCCAGGCTGATTCGTATAGCCCTCATTCATTCCACAAACACGTGCTGAGCCCTGCTCCGGCCTGGAGCTGGGGAGACACATCTTCATGAAGGTATTTGTAGGGGGGTCCTGCATTTGGGGAGGAAATCACTCCCTGCTACAAAATTACAGTTCCCACCACACCTGTCTGAGGAACCTGGGTCTGGAGCATGCGTGTGACAGAACTCAGCCAATCTGAGTCCTTTCCTGGACTTGTCAAATGGGGACAAATGAAGGCAGTAGCCCCAGCTGGTGGCTTCTGTCATGAGATTGAACCTGGACAAACTCAATGACCAGAGAGTGACAGGGACAGCAAGGATAGGAGCAAGGCCCGCCACCTCACAGCCCACAGTGGCAAGGTCTAAGAAGGGAGCCGCATCCGCCTCTGCCCTAAACTGGCTCAGCTCCTGTGTCAAGTGGTGGGTCTGACACTAAGTCCCAGCACTGCCTCCTGGGCGCCTATGACACACGGGCCCTAGTAGGAGACACGCAGACCCAGCCTCATGATCCCCTGGAGATAGACATTGTGTGTTCTCGTTTCACAGAAGGTGAAACTGAGGCACTGGGAGCTAGGCAGCTTGGTGAAAGTCACATGGCAATGAAAGACACAGGCACGTCCATGTCCTGTCATCGGGCCACGCATGCAATCACTATGGAAGGCCCACTCTGTGCCGGGGCCAGGCACCAGCGGGCAGTGGGAACCCCAGCCTACGCCATGTGCTCCACTGCAAATGCAGGCATGGGGCCTCGGCGGGGCAGGGGGCTCTGTGGGGAAAAGGGGCTGAGGGTGAGGGCAGCTTCCCTAAAGACACCATGCAAGCGAGCCCCAAGGGAGGGAGGGAGCCTAGGGGAAGGGAAGGGTGGGTGCAAAGGCCCTGGGGCACCATCCTGGGTGGGAGGGATGGGGTGGGCTCCACAGGTCACAGTAGCTCCCCTCTCAGAGCAGGAGGAGAAAGGGCAAAGGCCAGAGGTGTGACAAGGGGGAGGCCACAGCAGTCACATGGGGCAGAGGGTGGGGACTGCGCATCTCCCATGCCAGCCTCAGCCCCCAGTGCCCTGCTCAGGCCAGTGACAGTCTCCACTTTTGCCAGTGACCAAGCTCACCGGGCATAGGGTGCAACTCTTCACCAAAGCAGCCATCTTGAGACTGAAAGTAGAAATGCAGAGGGTGCTCCCACTATGGGTTATGGGGACACTGCCCCACGTGGGCCAGGGGGTCCAATTCACTCTGTCCTCAGGGGCACAGTAGGGGACACTAAGGCCATGCACTCAGCACCCCAGCACTCAGCTCCAGCTTCCCCACTCAGACAAGCACACAGTAGGTGCTGCAGCTACGATGCACTCAGCTCCAGCTTCCCCACTCAGACAAGCACACAGTAGGTGCTGCAGCTACGATGCACTCAGCTCCAGCTTCCCCACTCAGACAAGCACACAGTAGGTGCTGCAGCTACGATGCACTCAGCTCCAGCTTCCCCACTCAGACAAGCACACAGTAGGTGCTGCAGCTACGATGCACTCAGCTCCAGCTTCCCCACTCAGACAAGCACACAGTAGGTGCTGCAGCTGCGATGCACTCAGCTCCAGCTTCCCCACTCAGACAAGCACACAGTAGGTGCTGCAGCTGCGATGCACTCAGCTCCAGCTTCCCCACTCAGACAAGCACACAGTAGGTGCTGCAGCTGCGATGCACTCAGCTCCAGCTTCCCCACTCAGACAAGCACACAGTAGGTGCTGCAGCTACGATGCCTGCCGTGTGTGTGGCAGGCTCTGCAGCGACTTGTGGGGCAGGAGGGCTCAGCCCTCAGAAGCCCCATCTCGGGGCCTTTGCACAGCTCTTCCCTCTGCCTGGGATACTCCTGCAGAGCCCAGAGATACCAAGGACACACTGACACACAGGTCTTCACCCACCAGCCCCAGGCCAGCTTTAGCCCCCTCCCAGGACACCCCACAGACTTGGCCTTCTCTGACCCTCACTTTGAGCCTGCAGGCTGGCTCTTCCAATGCCCACTTTAGAGATGCGGAACTGAACCTGGGAGGGGAGTGGTGCCTTGCCTCACCTCAGCTATAGTGACAGTAGAGCGGGGACAGAATTGGGGGAGAGGGAGCCCGGTGCCCACCTCCTCCTGGGTCTCCCACTGCTCTGGCCCATGGGCAGTCTCCTCGAAGCCTCTGCCTTTCTCCACTGACTCCCTTGCCAGGGACACCCTCTTCACCAAGTTGAGGTCTGCCTCCTCCAGGAAGTCTTCCAAGGTACCAGTGGGCCCCACCCTCACCTATTGGCAGATCCCTGGGCTCCTAGAGTGGCCCCTCAGTTACAATTCTGGTGGGGGTTCCATCTCATCAGCTTGTGCAGGTGCCTGGGGAGCCAGGCCTCCTCCCAGCCCAGCTCCTCCAGGCTCCTTAAGGGTCCCTTGCTTCTCCATGTGGCTCCTTCACCAGATGGGCATACCTGCATGGGCAGCATGCACACTGGCAGGGCAAGAGGCTGCCCAAGGGGCCCAGGGCTTAGGCCAACCAGGGGCCCAGCTGGCCACACTCCTGGGGAGTGCAAGGGGCTGGGGCCTGTGAGGCTGGTGGGGTGCAGAGCTGCAGCAGAGTCCCTGAGGGCAGACCAAAGACCCAGACCACCCCCACCTCAGGACTCCCTTGCTGGTACCCACAGAGCGGTCGTGAGCTTGACCCCATCTCGAGCTTGCACAGTTCTCTCTGTCTCCAGAGCCCCAGCAGGCCTGGGAGGAGGGAGGTGAGAAGAGGCTGCTAACGCACACTTGTTGCTAAAATAACTTAAGAAATAGCAAAACAGACATTTATTAAGCATCACCGGCTGCATGCCAGGCAATTTCATTAGTGTAGCCTTCACACTCCTGAGACAGACAGACTTTTGTCCCCACTTTGCAGATGAGGAAACTGGGGCTCAGAGGGTGGTGCCCAGGACCCACAGCCGACCTCTGTACTCATTCCTCTCATCCACCCCTGAGGAAGAGGGGAGCTCCAGAGCCCAGCTGGCATTGGGAAGGTTCCATGACAAAAACCTCAGTGCCAGATCTTCACGTCCCCTCCCCAGGAGCAGGTGGCAAGGACGGAGGGCAGCACAGGGTGGTAGGTGGTGCCAACACAGGCCTGCGTGTGCCCCTGCAGTGTGCATGCCCGGCTGGCTGTGCGGAAGCTGTACATCAGGACCCGGCCATCAGCGCTGCCCGTCACCAGCAGATCACCGCCTGGGGAACACTCGCAGCCCACTGAGTAGCCCTCCACCTGCAGAGAGGGACACACGTGTGAGCAGGCCACACCTGCTCCTGTCAAGTAGGGGTGAGGACGCCCACTCTACGGCCGAGCAGGCTGAAGATGTGAGCTGATGGAGCAGAGCTGGGCTTCGTACCTCATGTCCCTAAGGACGAAGCCCAAGCCCCGCCCATGAGGCTGCAGAGCCCGGGCGCCAGCCCACATCACGAGGCCAGTTCCGCAGATCCAGCTGGACCAGCTGCAGCCCAGCTGAGGGGGTCTGGCCTCAGCGACAGTCACCAAGCCCCTGGCCCCTTCCACCCCAGCAAGGCTGGCCTCAATGCAGAAAGAGGATGCAGAAATGACAGCCATGACATTCCGCCCTGCTCCTGCCCCTACCTCTGTGGCCTGTTGGTGTGAGCCAACTACTGCTTCTTGCCCAGTACCTGGGCCTGGAGTAAGGACCAGATGTGGCTGAGGGACTTGAAGAGACAGCAGGCCACATGGTATGTGCTCACCCAGGACACAGAAAGCAGGATCCACCCAGACCAAGGCTCCATGAAGTCCCAGGCCCATGTCCATGACTGGCAGGCAGCTTGGGGCTGGGGCTCAGCATTCACCTGGGGGACAAGGACAGAAGTACCTTGTGCCCTTCATAGCGCCGCCGTCTGCTCATCCGGTAGGGCCACACAGTGGAGAAAAGGGCCAGGTAGTTGCCATTGGTCTGTGCCAGGAACACGGGTTCCCTGGGGTGCAAGGCGAGGCTGGGGCAGGTGAATCTCTCCTGGGAACGGCAGGGCCACACATAGATCAGAGAAGACACCCCCACCCAGCACTCTGCTCCGGCACCTGAGGCCTGCTCCCAGACTCTAGCTAAGTGTCTACATGGGTTTTCTGTTGCTGCCCTCACAAATCACCACAAGCTTGGTAGCTCAAGACACACACATTTCGCATGGCACAGTCCTGCGGGTCAGAAATCTGAAAGAGGCCTCGCTGGGCTGAACTCAAGGTGCTGGCAGGGCTGCACTCCTTTCTAGAGACTGGAGGGGAATCCAGCTTACTCCCCACTTCCCAGCTTCTACAATCTGCCTGCATCCCTATGGCAGGCAGGAAAATGCCCCCCAAAATATACCTACGTTCTCATCTCTGAGACCTGTGAATGTTACCTTACAGGGTCAAAACCAAGGGTCTCCACGGACATAATTAAGGATTCTGAGATAAAAAGATGATCCTATATTATATACTAAATGCAGTCATGTGCAGCCTTATAGAAAGGAAGCCAAGGCCAGGCGCGGTGGCTCATGCCTGTATCCCAGCACTTTGGGATGCTGAGGTAGGCGGATCTCTTGAGCCCAGGAGTTTGAGACCAGCCTGGGCAACATGGCGAAATCCCATCTCTACAAAAAAAAAAAGAGAAAGAAACAAAGGGAAGGTGCACAGATGTGACACACTGTGAAGGCGGTATGAAGACGCTGGTTCTGAGGGCTGGAGAAATGCAGCCACAAGCCAGGAACAGCAGCTGTCACCAGAAGCCAGAAGAGGCCAGGATGGATCTCCCCTCAACCCTCCAGATGGAGCACACCCTGCCAACACCTAAATTTCAGCCCAATCATACTTAACATTGATTAAGAACTTCGAGCCTCCAGAACTGTGAGAGAGTAAGTTTGTGTTCTTTCCGTCACCAAGTTTGTGTAATTTATCACACGAGGATGGAAAAGGAATCTATATGGCCATCTCCCCACCTCCACAGTGAGCCTCCAGGGACAGCCCAGCCCAGTCCAGGGACCCACACAGCAAATATGCACGGTAAGTGAGGAGGTAAGTGGCCAAATGAGAAGAGAAATGCACAAACCTCAAAACACAAGGGGCATGGGATCTCACTGCTTGACTGACATGGTCCCACAGAAAGCACCCTAAAAACTGTCCCCTCGAGCTGGCTTTGCATTGTTCTAACCATTGTCCCTAGACCACACTCTCTAAGTGAGCCCAAACTCAGAGGACAAAGTGGGGAGCAGCAGGAAGGACAGCTGCAGGCTGATGCCCATCAGAGGCACAGAGGCTGGCATGGCCAGATAATGAGCTCCCAGTGTGACGGTGCTGGGCAAGCACCTGCTCCCTCGGCACAGACAGCATGGAGTGTAACTATAGGAGGGTCAGTAGTTCAGGCGCAAGGCACCTTCCTCTGCCTCACTTCCCCTGGGCTCCTGGAGGCAGGACACCCTCAGAGTCCAGATGCGCCCCTCCAGCTCTCTTCCAGGGCCTGTCCTGACCAGTGGGTTGCACTGGGACATCCTGCAGTGAGGTCTAGAAACAGGTTTGCTCAGGGCCACTTAGAACCCATTGAGAACAAGGAAAAGGCAGGGAGGAAAAGAAGGTGTACACAGGGTATGTATTTCATGTACACCCGCATATATCACAGACACATGACACAGCTTTAAATTCAGAGTCATCACGGGTTAGTGGAAATCTCAAAAGATGATGATGGTGGTGATGGTGGTGGTGGTGGTGGAGGTGCTGGTGGTGGTGGTGATATAGTGTAGTGGTGGTGGTACTGATGAGATGGTAGTGGTGACAGAGATGGGGTGGTATAATGACAGCAGTGATCGTGCTGGTGGTGATAGAGATGCTGGTGACAGTGCTGTGATACAGCTGGTGGTAGTGACAGAGATGATGGTGGTGATGGAGACAGTGTGGTGATGATGGTGGTACAGCAACAGAGATGCCAGTGACAGGGAAGGTGACAGAGATGGCAGAGGTGATGATGGTGATGGTGTGGTGACAGTGATGATGACAGTGGTAGTGCTGGAGACAAAGAGGGTGGTGGTGATGGTGGGAATGGCGGTGGGGATACAGATGGTGACGGTGATGCTGATGGCGGTGGTGCTGGTGATGATGGTGATGACAGCAGTGGTGGCAGTGACAAGGATGACAGCAGTGGTGGTGGGTGTAGAGATGTGATGCTGATGGCGGTGGTGCTGGTGAGGTTGGTGATGATGGTGAGGGGGGTGGTGCTGGTGGGAATGGCGGTGGGGATACAGATGGTGACGGTGATGCTGATGGCGGTGGTGCTGGTGACGATGGTGATGACAGCAGTGGTGGCAGTGACAAGGATGACAGCAGTGGTGGTGGGTGTAGAGATGTGATGCTGATGGCGGTGGTGCTGGTGACGATGGTGATGGATGACAGCAGTGGTGGTGGGTGTAGAGATGTGAAGCTGATGGCGGTGGTGCTGGTGACGATGGTGATGACAGCAGTGGTGGTGGGTGTAGAGATGTGATGCTGATGGCGGTGGTGCTGGTGACGATGGTGATGGATGACAGCAGTGGTGGTGGGTGTAGAGATGTGATGCTGATGGCGGTGGTGCTGGTGAGGTTGGTGATGATGGTGAGGGTGGTGGTGCTGGTGATGACAGCAGTGGTGAGAATAGAGTGATGCTGATGGTGGCACTGGTGGTGGTGATGGCAGTGATGACATGGTGGTGGTAGTGATGGTGATAGTGGTGATGATAATGACAGTTAGTTTGATGGAGCACTCCCTGTGCCTGGCACTGTGCTATACCCTTTACAAGAATTCTCTCTCTCTTAATTCTCATAACTGTTTTTTTACAAGGAAAATAAGAATCAAACAGGCTAAACAGCAGGCCCAGGGCTCTCTGCCTGATAAGGTACTAGTGAATCCCGAACCTTAATGCAGGTGTTCTAACTGTGGGGCCCCTGTTCTGAACTCCTGGGCTCCATCACTTGCCAATGCCACTGAGGATCACAAACCCCTTCTGAGTAGCTGACTGTGGCAGTGGGAGGGTGGGGTTTCTCAGGTTACACGGCTGTGTTCCCCCTGATCTGGACTGAACTGCCCCCAGACCCTTACCTTGGTGGGGAAGCTGTGCTGGCACAAGAAGAGCATAGAGGAGGTTGCATCTGAAAGCCCACAGAAAGCTCTCCATGTGTGTGTCAGGCTGAGCCCTGCCTCTGCTACCCCTATCCTGAATATTTCAGTCAAATGAGCCCCCTCCCACGGAAGGGGCCTGGGACCTCAGACAGATAAGAACTACATGGATACACCCTGTGGCTGAAACTGACAGCAATGACAAATGAGATTTCTTACGTGGAAAATCTGATTAGAGATTTTGGCAGAGGTCCGGAAATCCCAGGCAATAATGGTGCGGTCAGCCGAGTCCCGGGTGGAAGCATCCGTGCTGCTCAGGAACTCAGAGCCTTCCCGGAGGAACAGGATGTCCAAGGTCTGCTGAATGGTGGCCTTGTAGCTTCTCATCACCTGCAAGAGTGGACATAGGTCATGCTGGCAGACCTGGAAGGCCAAGGACCCAGGGGACTGCGGGGCAGTTTTAGTGAAGTCTATGCTGGGCCACACACAACGAGGCTGAGCAGCCCAGGTCGTATGTGGAATCATAGACCTTCCTGCCCCTTGCCCAGGCCAGTGTCTGTCAACTTCTCAGCCCTGCTGCTCTATTGTCACATGGGTCTAGAGAGGCATTCCTACCACCCCTTCAGAGCAGCAGGATCCCAGGAAAAGCACTAAGCGAAAGGCCCTTGACTGGCCAAGGGCACCTTGAGAGCATATTGACATCCATCAACAGTGGGGTCATCTTTTGAGTGGGACTTGCTTCTGAAGACGCCACATAATTCAGAGCTCGCCAAGTCCCAGACTGTTGTCCCTGGAGGAGCCCCGGCAATGCAGGAGCAAGTGTGCTTGGGGACCATAAAGCCAGAATCACAGGACATATTTTAGCTTGAACGACACGTTGTATTGTTTTAGCATCATCACCGATACTTCAGTCTCCTGTCTCATCAACTAACTTTATTAAGTATCAAGCAGTTGTTTTGCTTTCTTAGAGGATTTTTTCACATTCAACTTCTGCTCTCAAATGTCCGGCTCTGGTGGGGGTGTGGAGAAGGGTCCCAGTCCCAGGACTAGCAAGTAGCTCCACTTAACACACCCACAGAGGGCAGGACCTTAATACAATATGGAAATAAACGGCTGGGCACCCACATGCAGCAAGGTCTCCAATCAGTCGCAGGGCCCAGCTGGTCCCTTTAGCAGTTCCTGGGGCGCCACCATGTGGCTGCAGCATAAACAGTTCAGTCCTGGGCCCCGCCAGCTCAAACGTGAACCATCTTGACTTTTAATTGGAGTTCATACCTTTCAAATTTTGGAGACATATTTTCTATTATCCTCCTTAAAATGTATACGTCAAGTTCACATTAACTGTAGAACTCCATAATTTCAGTTTAGGTTAGAGGAGGAGGAGGAGGTTGAGACTCATTCTCCAGATGAGGTTCACTGAGCCCCAGGAAGAGGTAGAGATTGGCTCAAGGTCACATGGCCAGCGCATGGTGGAGACTTTTCTGACTCCCACGGCTTCCCTGGGGCAGGCAGCTCATTCTCCTGCTGGCCAACTCCTGCCTCTGTAATTCTTGTGGGAGGGTGGGCAACAGATGACTTCCAAAGCAACCCTCAGCTAGGGAGATTTCAGAGTGGGCCCCCTGAAACCTAAAGAATGATCCAGGAGTGGAAAAAAGTCCTCTGGATGCAGGCTGCCTGCCTTCCTCCACACACGGCGCTACCCTCCCATATGGCCTTGATACCACAGCCTCCCACCAGCCTCAACACCTTGATCCCTAAGAGGCTGACCCAGGGAAAGGATGAGGAAGATGATGGGCCTCCCTGCCACTCGCTGAGTGCTTAGGAGGTACCAGCCCCTGACTGGGAGGCTCACATAAGTTATCTCACGACAAGTCTCAGAGGTAGCTTCTTTCAGTGGGCATGTAGTCTCAGAGAGAGAACTTGCCCAGGAGCTGATAATCACCTGCATGCCCCTGCCAACACACCACCTGCCTCCCAAGACAAACTTTTTGAGGAGAACCAAAACCGTTGTTCAGTACATTTTCTGAGAATGGATGGAAATAGCCCAATTCATTAGGGTGTCATAAAAGTGAGTGGCCAGGAAACAAGCCGTGTTCCAGGCGACCCCTGCCAACAAAGTGGCTGTAAGTGGAAGGCTGGCCTTTGAAGAGATAGCCCCCCGAACATGATTTATTCGCCTTCACAACTGCTCATGCCCTAGGAAAAGAGCAGAGGAGTCATTTATATGTCTAGCTGGTGGGTTTTATGGCAAGCTTAATTACACCAACAGCTGGCATGGGACGGAGCTACCCGGGCCTAACGAGCTGGATCCAAAAGGGAGGCTCGCTTGGGCTCTTCTGGCAACTGCGGGCCCCTGGTGGAGAAGCAGGGACGTGGTCTTGGGGAAAATGGAAGATCGATCATGGTACATGCAGGGGTTATGTCCCTACAATCTGCCCACCACTCGGCCCACCAGCAAACCTGGGTGACTCTGGGCTGCTGCCAACTCGTCCAGAGCAGCCTTGGGTTCCTGCCACTTCCAGAGTGCATGGGGTTGGGGGTGCTCACTGGGCTCCAATCTTGGCCCACTGCTGTTACTGAGTACCTGGGGAGGGTTCGTTCCCTCCCCGGGCCTAGTTTTTGAGTCATCAACACAAGGGGCCTGAATGCACGATGACCTCACCTCTGAACCTCTAAGTACTACTCATCCTCAGAAAGAAGGACCGGCGGATGGACCCAGCTATCCCTCACCCTATGCCGCCAGTCCTCTGCACCCAGACCTGAAGGACAGGAGGCAGGGAGGCACTGCTCTGGCCTCACATGCAACCCTGTGCTCCCTTAGATGTCCACCTCGGCCACCTCCCTACACCATAGGTCTGTGAGCTCCTGACACAGACACCCTACTACCCACATTTCTGGGTCACCCTTGGCTAGCAATGGGTCTACCCCCTGCAGGAACCAGTAAGGTGTGTGGAATTGATGCTGGATAAGTGAGTGAATGCATAAACCAATGAATGAATGAACAAAAGGTCGACTACCTTAAAAGCAACAATCCAGGGTCCTCTGGCTTCTAACAACATCCTGGCACGCAAGACTGAGGCAACGCACAAAAGCCTTTGCCACTGGCTCTCCCAGGACCCCCGGGGGAGATGATATTCACTCACAGGTCCTTCCCAAGGCCCTGAGTGGGCCAGCCCGTCCTGCCCTTCAGACACGGAGACAATGGAAAGCTGCTTCAAGACCTTGGTGGGAGGTGGGAGCACAGCAGGACTGTGTTCCGTGCTGCAGCCTCACAGGAGCCCAGAAGCAGGTGGGGCCTGTCCTAACCCCTGGATTAGCAGGGGTGAGATGCCACGTGGGAGGGCCCAAGCACTTAGGCAGACACTTCGGGGACCTGAGCCTGGCAGCCTATTACTGGCTGCATAATTTTGGGCAAGTAACTTCCCTCTCTGTTCTTCAGTCGCCACACCTGTAAAGTGGGGTAACAACAGGACCTCCAGCTGAGGAAGTAAGAGTGACGTTCCCCAGCAAAATGCCCAGCACATCTGAGCCCGCTGTCGTAAACCTCCTCCCCAGCTAGCTAGAGCTAGAGTCCCCAGGATGGAGCTGTGAGTTCTTGGGCAACTCCCAAAAGTAAATGTGTTGTCTTCTTCGAGTGCCAAGATGCAAGGCAAAGTGGAGGGGTGGCACAGGGCCCACTGCTTTGGATTAAACTCACAACAGCAGAAGTCGCCAATCACATAGGATGGTGGCTATCAACGCAATTGACATTTACATTAAACAAAGGAAACTATGAGAAGAAAACATGATTGAATTTCTCCACAACCTGGGACTAGGGGAAACCTTCCCAGCTATGGCTCCAATGCCAGAAGCAGTAAGAGGAAAGCTGAATAAATTGGACTATATAAAAACAATAATAATTGTTTTAAAAACACTTTGGTATGGCAAAAAGCAAGCAAGTAAGTAAATAATAAATAAGCAAAATCAAAAAGACAAGTAGGAGAAATATTTGCAACTTCTATTACAGGCAAAAGTTGCTATCTGTAATACATAGATGCTCCCTAAAAATAGATAAAAAAGATCAATAGCTCTACAGAAAAAAGAGCAAGATAAGCAGAGCTCAGAAAAAAGGAAATGGTCCTTCTACTCTGCTCATAACAAAAGCAATGCAAATTTAAATCACATACGGATACCATTACTTGCCTATCAAATTAACAAAATCCAAAAGTTTTGCAGCACCCTTGTTAGGTGGCTCTGGGGGTGGTAGCTATCGACATATGGCTGCCAGAAATGCAAATGGCACAAGTCCTGTGCAGAAAGGATTTAGACAACTCTGAGAAAAATAATATATGTATCGTTACTCAGCAATATGCATGGCCCAGCAACCCCACTTCTAAGAACCCCACTTCCTAAACTTACACCAGCAAAATCCCAAAGAGATATAAGCACAATGCCACTGAAAGCAGCACTATTTGTAAAACTAAAAACAGAGAACAACCCAATGTTCATTGAGAAAGGACTGGCTGAATAAACTTTAGTACATGAACACTCTGGACCACTATGCAGCTGTAAAGGAAGAATGAGGAACCTATCCTGCTATGGAGTGATCGCCAGGACACACTGTTCAGTGAACAGAATGCAAAGTGGGAGAAAAAAAGTGTGTCAAGTAAGGAGACGAGGTGATATGAACGTGTATGTGTGTTTGCTTCCACTAAGAAGCAGTGAGAAGATAAACCAGAAACTAAAATAAGTAAATAAACAAGATTGCCTTAAGAGGATGGGAGGGGAAAAGCATGGGGGAGACAGGGTTAAAGGCAGAACATGGATGATTTCTCTAAATGTACCTTGTTTTTCAGATTTCACTCTAGAACAGGGGTTATACATTTTTTCTGTAAAGAGCCAGTCAGTAAATATTTTAGGTTTTGTAGGCCATATATAGTCATTGTTATATACAATTCTGTGTGTGTGTGTGTGTGTGTGTGTGTGTGTGTGTATGTGTGTGTTAGAGTTGGTTAAAAACGTAAAAACCATTCTTTGCTCAAAGACCATAAAATACAGGTCACAGGCCAGATCAGGCCCATCAACTGTAGTATGCCAATCCATCCTCTGGGTCCATGTACACATTTTATTTAATTATGCAACAAAATTAACTTAAAAAGCAATCTCTATAATGTAAAAGCACAATTAACCATGTATTGACTTGGTAGCTTAAATGCACAAATAAAATTTCTTTTAAAAGACCTGAAACACAGTAATTTAATGGTAAATCCTTAATTGAATATACATTATTAATAGAAAACCAGCAATATGGTGGTAAATCCTAATTAGATATACATCATGAACAAAGAGAACTGCAAGAAATCTTAAAGTGTTTTCAGTCATTTCACTGTTAGTGTCAATATACATAAAAA